AGTTACGTGGCCTGTGCCGGTGGCTGACCCGTCACCTGGCCAAAGCCGTGAGGAAAGGCAACAAACACTGGCTGCCAGCGGCCATATCCTTGCAAACCTATGCTCCCCATGCAGCTCTACGCTCGAGAACTCTTGGATTTCTTTCTAGAACGCGTCCCGAGGCAAAGACTTGAAGTTGGGAAGGGTTTCGAGTTTGGGAGTGAGGGCTGCCGTGGAAGTCATCCCAAGGAAACGAAGGGCGAAGCTACTAGCTGCCACCGTGTCAAGCTGCGATCGGGTCGTGCGGCATGTGCAGAACCTGGCGCCTTTCTTGGTTGACTACTTGTCGGTGCTGGCATCGGCCAGCGGAAAAATTAGAACTTCCACAGTGACACACCGTCAATGTCGGCCACCCTTTTTGGGCACCGGACTCCAACAGCGAACGCAGATCCACACGGCCTTCTCGAGAAGCCCTCATCAAGAGAGTCAGGGCAACAGTGTCGCTTAGTAACCTTGTCGGCTTCCGACAACAAACGTACGACGTGATGAAAGCCGTCTCCATTATAAGCACACTTTCATTCTCTTTGTTGACTAAATTCCTGCATTCTCCTGTCGGCACCAGCCTCCAGCAGCAGACGAAGGTCGTCGAGCAGCGTTCCCCCGTGGCCCCTTGCCTCTAAAAATCTTGCAGGTGCTGGTCATGAGAGCCGTATCCGAACTTCAACGGCCTTCTGAAGAAGCGTTCATCAGAGCAGGAATCCCTCCACTTGAACCAGGCCGTTCAAGAAGCCGTTATCAGTGCAGTCGCGATGTCATTTCTGCTCAAGTTCTTGTAGTCGCCGGCTTCCAAAATCGCAGAATCAGAAGCCAACATCAAGGCCGGAGTGGAGGTAGCCTTCTTGCCTTCTGGGCTGCACCTGCCATCGCCGAACTTCTGCCATGGACGTTCCGACGCTGAGGGCAGGATGAAGGGTCCGGGATATGCGGACAGATGAACCGTGGCTACGCAGCCATTTCGTCCACCAGCTGCGATGCCGCTTGGTATGTCACATTGCTGCAGAAAGAGCCTTTGCCTGAACTGTTTGAGCAAGCCGGCCAGCAGCCGTTCCCGCTGCTTCAACGCTCAGTTCCACTACATGCCCGCCACGTCTGCTCCAACAGCATCCAGCTACGCATCAGAAAGAGCTGCTGCAGGCTACTGCAAGGAGATGCCCATGGCAAGCACCGCCTCTGCATTCGGGATGTGCAGTTGCAGGCTGCCGTGTTTCATGCTAGGACAAAAACTGGCTGCGTTCTTCCCTCTCTTGGCGGTTGCTGCAGGTTAAGCACATCTGAATGCGGTCGCGAAGTATGCAATTTCAATCCCCGGATTAGGATGCAACTTTCTTGGGGGCTGCAAGATGTGCAATAGAAACAAGAAGCATGACCGTGCTGTTCACCCTGCCAGCCTCCGGTGCCAGGACATCTAAGACCACGGCTTGTTCTGTGGCTCCTGGATGTTCTTGGGTTTCTGCAATTCAGAGAATCCTTCTTAGGACGTTAAGGCCGTCTTGGCACCTACTTACGGAATCATTAATTCGAAGGCGATTGCACCACGCTTTCCCGGAAGTAAGCCCTCTCACTGGCCACACGCTGGTGTGCAAAGGAAACACTTCCTATGCCTCTTTTTCCTTATGACGGTTGATAATGTTATCTTTTGAAGGCCATTACCATAGAATGGAAACCATGATGAACATGGTCGTGATAACGATGGTGCTTAGGAGGGGAGGCTCATGATCCTGAAGACGATCAATCGCGACCATCGAAAATTTCATGATCAGCTGCTGCAGAAGCAGGAGTAGAAGTAGCAGCAGCAGCAGCAGCAGAAGCAGTAGCAGCAGTGGCAGCGGCAGTGGCAGTAGCAGTAGCAGGCGCAGGAGCAGTAGCAGTAGTAGCGGCAGTAGCAGTAGCAACAGCAGTAGCAGTAGCAGTAGCACCAGCCGTAGCGGCAGTAGCAGCCGTAGCAGTAGTAGCAGTAGGACCAGTAGTAGCAGTAGTAGCAGTACGAGCAGTGGTAGTACGAGTAGTAGGAGTAGTAGGAGTAGTAGTAGTAGTAGTAGTAGTAGTAGTAGTAGTAGTAGTAGGAGTAGTAGTAGTAGTAGGTAGTAGGTAGTAGGTAGTAGGTAGTAGGTAGTAGGTAGTAGGTAGTAGTTAGTAGTTAGTAGTTAGTAGTTAGTAGTTAGTAGTTAGTAGTTAGTAGTCAGTAGGTAGTAGGTAGTAGGTAGTAGGTAGTAGGTAGTAGTTAGTAGTTAGTAGTTAGTAGTTAGTAGTTAGTAGTTAGTAGTTAGTGGTTAGTGGTTAGTGGTTAGTGGTTAGTGGTTAGTGGCTAGTGGTTAGTGGTTAGTGGTTAGTGGTTAGTGGTTAGTGGCTACTGGTTAGTGGTTAGCGGTTAGTGGTTAGTGGCTAGTGGTTAGTGGTTAGTGGTTAGTGGTTAGTGGTTAGTGGTTAGTGATTAGTAGTCAGTAGTTAGCAGTTAGTAGGTTATAGGTTAGTAATTAGTATTTAGTGGTTAGTGGTTAGTAGTTAGTAGTTAGTAGTTAGTAGTTAGTAGTTAGTAGTAGTTAGTAGTTAGTAATTAGTAGTTAGTAGTTAGTAGTTAGTAGTTAGTAGTTAGTAGTTAGTAGTTAGTAGTTAGTAGTTAGTAGTTAGTAGTTAGTAGTTAGTAGTTAGTAGTTAGTAGTAGTAGTAGTAGTAGTAGTAGTAGTAGTAGTAGTAGTAGTAGTAGTAGTAGTAGTAGTAGTAGTAGTAGTAGGAGCAGTAGCACCAGTAGCCATAGTAGAGCTGTAATGGTAGCAACAGCAACAGCAGCAGCAGCAGCAGCAACAGCAGCGCAGCAGAAGCAGCAGCGGCAGTAGTCAGCAGTCGTCGTCGCAGTGGGCATCGTCGTCGTCCTCCTCAGCAGCGCTTCTGTGCCAGCATCGTGTGGTTCCAAAAGCCACCGTTTTGTCTGTTAGCAACACCCTGGCACAAAACCATCGCCAATCATGCCACTACCGCCATCACCATGACCATCGTCATGATGCATCATGAACCATTCCCATGAGATTCATCAACAATAAAACCATCGCTCCAGCTTAGCTTCCGGCTTCCAGGCACAACGTGCACCCAATGCGGCCGGAAGGTCACCGTCACCTGGCCACACGCACAGCGGCATAGCACTCGCACAGCACACATTATCAAGACCGAAACACAAGCATCTCTGCCTGGGCGACGACAACCGATAGCCTTATCGCGAAACATTCATCATTGTTGCAGTGAGTTTGATTTGGCGAATTACTTGTGCACAACGCTTGGCTGCTTCCCGGCATGTTCCGCATGAGCGACTGGTTCTTCTAGAAGACGGCACTTGACAGGGTTGGCAGGGTGTTGAACAACATATGGTTTCAGCACATCCTGTCGTGTTCATGGTCTTATTGGTTCTGTAGTGTTCAGGCCTTTGGCTTTGGAGTGTCTGGGTGTAAGTTGGTGTTTGGGGTGTTGCGTTGGTTCTACAGTATGCTGGACAAAGGGGCCAAAACACTGTAGATAAGTGTGTTGTGGTTAGTGGTTTCATGACCGGTGTCTGTCTTTGCTGCTTCTTTCTTCGGGTCTGCGGTAGCTTTCTCCTTCTTTCTGAATTGATGTCAGCCGATCTGTTTGTATTGAAATCTAACTGTTGGTATTGATTCGTCCCTTGATATCATGTATAATATATTTGTTTCTTTATGTATATGTATGTATGTATGTATGCATGTATGTATGTATGTATTATGTATGTATGTTCATTCCTGTCCCGCCACCTTGCTTTGTTTGTGGCGTTCGTTCTTGTTTTGTGTGACTCCTTCTTTCCGTGTCGTTCGTCATTTGCTTCGTTCGTTCTCTGTGTCTTTCGCTCCTTCGTCCTGTCTTTGTTTCATTCCGACTGAAGGCAGTGTTGATGCCTCCTTGATGGGGAGGACGGTGATGCATGATAATGCTGCTGTCGGTGATGCATGATCAGCATCATGTTGATATGACGTGGTGGCGGCGGTGGTGGTGGCGGCGGTGGTGGCGCTGGTGGCGCTGGTGGTGCTGGTGGTGCTGGTGGTGCTGGTGGCCAATCGGACGTCATGGGCCACTTGCCCACCCCACCCTCCCCCAAAATCCCGAATCGTACAGAAACGAGACACTGAAAACCCCTCCCCAGTCGTTTGAAGCAGTGACTGGGGTCAGTACCGAAGACAGGCCAGCATCCAGCGGATCCAGCTCGACTGCCACATCTTCCTGAAGCCGATCCTCACTCTTTTGCTGCGCCAGAAACTTGTTCAAATCTTTGCTGCTGACAAGACCGCAACGGTCCTCGAAACTGACGCCGAAGCTCACTCGGTCGAGGTGGCACCGGCCATAGCTTCAAGAGTGCGCAAAGTTGCTCCGGTCGCAACAAGCTCCTAGTTGCAAGGCAACGCGATCTGAAAGCACCGGTGTCGAAGACTGCGTAAGACAGCGCATGAATGCCTCTGATGTTGATTCGTGCCGGTGGCAGTTGGTTGCCCACTAGCACCATCACGTGCTGGAGGTGTTTTGCAGAATCTGTCTGGTTGCATGAGACACCATGAGAAGAGGCAACGTCGCGACAATGCACTAATTGAAAGAAATGAAACAAGAATCAATGAGGCTTTGCAGGCGTTCATAGGAAACTGCCGTTCTGCAGACATGTAACCTCCCTGCAACGGAAGCTACATGTTGAAGTAGCAAAGTACAATCTTTACGGCTTGATACCCCATGACGAACGCCAAGGCTTTCCTGACATGAGCTAGGACTCTCAAAGTGGACTACACTGTAGAAGCTTGAGAGTCTCTGCCCAGCCAGTACTACAGACCGATAAGACTGAACTCCGAAAACCCCAAGAGACTTCATCAGACTGAGTAGTTGGGAAGATTTTTGGAATCGGAACATTCCTCGATCTTGCAATGCTCCTTCTCAAGCTTTGGTTCACAACTGGCCCCTTCTTCTGAGAGCAAGACTGCCGGATTTTGCATGCATGCCTCCAGCTGGCGCTTTGGCAGCTTTGTCTCGAGTAGGTGGAGGTCAGGGTTCTGGTTGACTGGACGTCGGTTATGAGGTTTTGGTACGCATCTGCCACACGTCACTCTGGCTTCGTAAGGCAGTCAGAAGTGATTCTTCGGTCTTACTGCTCCGCTGCCAAGCATGCTCAGCGAGATCGTAAACATGAAGAACGGGCCTCCCAGTTTGCCAATGCAGCCTGCAGCTTTGCGAGTCTTGAAGCTGCTACTGGTAGCGTCACTCTTCTGCCACTCATCTCACAGAAGGTCAAATCTCCAGCCCTTGCGGGCCTAGCTACGGACTGCGCCCACTGCATGTCTGCATCGTCTGCATCGTGATATGGGCTTACGCATGAGTCCGGCCTGCAGCATCTGCGTGGCCTGCTGCAGTCGCACTGTCTCATCCTGCACCTGCGGTTCCTCGCAGGAGGCATCGAGAGAAAAGGTGTTTCTGCAAAATTGGCAGAGCCCTAAGTGCCGGGCAGCGGCCGGTTGCCAGCCATGGCTGCCGATGCCCGACGGGAGTTGCACCTGACGCCGCAGAGGGGCCAAAAGCGGCCAGAGTGAAGGAACGACACTCCCAGCATCTCCCGGCCTTCACAGGGGTTTGGCTCTGGGCTTTGGCCTGTCGCTCCGAAACTTCTTGCAAACGGCTGTAGTCGAAACACCTCACATATCCCTTCCATCGTCAATTCCCTCGGTTCCAGGCGCGGTGGTCAGCCGACCTCGGAAAGTCTCGCTCTCTCTCTCTCTCTCTCTCTCTCTCTCTCTCTCTCTCTCTCCTGGGCTTGGGGATTGGGGCAGCATCCAGGCCCCGCCCCCCTCTCTCTCTGTCTCTCTGTCTGCGTGGCCACGCACGACACTTCGATCCCTTTCATCTCGGTCCCAAGCACGGCAGAGAGCGCCTGCATCAGCTGAACCCAGCGCAGGCTCTACTTTTCGGATCGGTGTTGGGTCATGCAAAGGGCATGACATCACATTCCAGTAACTCTCTTGACGGGTTGCAAGAAGCTTGGTCATCAATGTTTTCTCCTAGCTGCAGTTGAACAGAGGTGACAGTGGTCGAGCAGCGATAAGCACCTGATACGGAGCATAGGAAACACTCTACTCTACCGGTAGCTGAAATGCCTGAACTGGATATCTACCTCGTGTATCAAACGACGGTTTGCGTTCTATGCCACACCTCGCAGCAGCTCTGACAAGCGGCAAAGTATCGTGGACCATGGACTCCAACAGTGCTGTGAATCTGCGACATATGCTGTCGGAACCACGACTGGTGCATGAACAGCAGGTTCTCCGGGCACGATTCGCCGTCTGCGTCAGAGTCTGACATCTATGAAGGGGTCGTGTCGCAACATGAAGTGTGAGAACGGTCGAGCCGCGAGCCTCCATGTAGTTTGCCCCAGCCTGCCATGGCCAATGGCCCCGGCCCCCGCCAAGCCCCGGCCTTGCCCTGCCCTGCCTTGGAGACACCCTGAGTCAAACCAAGCACTTCCTGCCCGCGGAAAACGAAACGGCTCGCTTTGCGCAAGGCTCGAAGAACTTCCCAGCCTGGGCAGGCCGCCTCAGGGCTGCAGATTGCCAGTACAGGGCAGGGCAGGCATGAGAAGAAAGCTTTGGAGGGTATTGGGAAGATGATGAGCGCGAGTATCAGGAATGTCACGAACTGCTCAACCTGCGAAGCTTCTGCTGGGGCTGCGGCATTTGCATCTGAGCCTCCTGGGCAAGCAGGGCGAGTTCTGGAGGGTTGTGCTGTGCTGTGTGTCTGCGTTCTCTGCCACACACTGCATGCACAAGCCCCGAACAGATTGGTATTGGGCCAGGTTGTCCAGCATCATCCGCTGCCTCGGACGTCCGCAAGCAGCTTGCCCAGAAGACCCGGCAGATGTGGCCCCTGCTGTTGGACATGTCCAATCTGTTCCATGAACCAGGCATCAACGTGTACAGTAGTGCGCAGGGCTCCTTGGACACCGACCGGGCCCTGTCCAAAGACAACAGTTCCTGGAACTCAGATTGAGAGGGGGTTACCGGTTCGCAGCACAACAAAACTCAGTAGGCATTCTTCTGCTGGTTACCTGACGTGCCATCAGAAAAAGAGCTGGTACTGCGCCTGCACGTACGCAGCCATCTGGTCCTGATTCCACTGGAGACTGGCGTAATGCTGACAGAACCCTCTCGCTTGTGTCGTTCGCGGTGGCCAAAGCACGAGTTGGGCGGAGCTTCTGTCAATTGCTTTGGGCCTGTCTGCGGAACCTTCGGAACAGAACACAGCGGTTCTGCTTTTGGGGTTACCTATAACCCTCCGCAATAATAGGTAACTTACAACGCTTCACTGAACGACAGGTTCTCAGGTTTTTGCTTGCTGGAAACCCTCTACACCATGGAAAGGTGCAGATCTGGAGCCCTCTAGACATGCAACAACACTCCTAAGGACACAAGCGGCATGGGGCTGCGACTGTCGCCCAGTGATCCGATAATATCCGATACTGCCAGAAACGAAACAGCATCAACATCCAGCTACGAGCAGGTTGTTCAGTCAGCTTGAGGCCTGGCTCTCAAGATGTAATCCCAGAACTCTGACTCTGATGCAAAACATATCACCACAACCGCGGCCTTCTGCATGCCAGGGAGAGACATCGAAAGAGCTCTTGCTGTCCCCCTCGACAGGCGACGAAGGATGACGAAAGCACGCGTCCCCAAGCTCTGTGGAAGTGCTGCTCTGGCCCTCCGGTCCGTTGAAAGCTCGTGTATTCTAAAGCAAATGTCCTTGACAAGCCTCTGGCCTAAAGACGCACTGGCTTTCGCATGGACCCCTCAAAAGTTATAAGAAGCCTTGCATCCTCGACACCCACGCTTTAGCAACACCAGAGCCTCACGGGAGGAGAGTGAAGTAAGTCCCTCAGTCTAGCTGTGTGCACACTGTGTATCTCCGAGTTCTTTGCAACAACCTACGCGGATTCCTTATGCACTTGCAGTCCGTCTGCTGCTCTCACTCAGCGCCAGGCACGTTGTCCGGCGCAAGCCAGATTAAAATAGTCACCGACGGCAAGCTGCCACAACTTGAGCCCGGAAGGCGAGGGATAGGTGCCTGGCTAGCAGAGTAGCAGGGGATTACAAATGAAAGCCGACGTGTTCTGAAGGGGTTCCCAATCACTTCTGTCTTTGTTTTTGGGGTCACTGGTGTGTTTTGTTCTTGGGTCGCTTGTGTCCTTCTTTTCTGCGTCACTCGCGTCTTTTCTTCTTTCAAAACAACAGTCTCGAGCGAAAGCCCTTTTTGGCTAGCCGTGGGCTTTCGGTCTGGGTTTACTCCTTTTAGGGAATCGGGCTGGGTTTACTTTTTGGGGCTTCGGGCTCCGCTTACTCCTTTAGGGATTGGGAATTCGTGTGTTGGGGTTTCGGTCACGGTTCAGTCCTTTTAAGGCTTCGGCCTGGGTTTACTTCTTCCTGTGTTCTTTCACTAGGGTTTGCTCTTCGGTCTGGGCCTTCTCTCGTTAGGCTTTCGGTCTAGGCGTGCTCCTTTTAAAGCTGCGGCCTAGGTTTGATCGGTTTTCGGGTTTCGGCTTTCTTTCAAGCTTACGTTTCACTTCTCTCAGGGTATCGGGGTCGGATTACCCCTCTTTGCGCTTTGGGCCTCCTTTCATTAGGGTTTCGGTCTGGGTTTACTCCTTTAAGGGCTTCGGCCTTTGGGTTTACTCCTTTTTAGGGTTTCGATGTCCCTTTATTCCATCTGATGATTGGGCCTTCTTCTTCTAGGGCTTCGGTTTGGGCTCCTTTTAGCGCCTTGGCCTGGGCTTACTCCTGTTTTCATTAGGGTGTCGGTCTGCCTGGGTTTACTGTTACAAGTAGGGTATCGGGGTCGGTTTACTCCTTTTTGGGTGCCTGGCCAGCGAGCTTCCGAGATCAATGCCTGCAACATCCGAATTGCAGACGCTCTTCTCCATGTCTGATGTACCAGCATGGCTGTCGCTGAGAAGTTCTCCACGTCGGGAATTCAACAACACCTGGGCCTCAAGAGAGTAAAATAAAGTGTAAGTCAAGTGGGCTGCTTGCCTTAGTTGTAACGCTGGCAAGAGCCATCGAAACCCACACACAGGCAGGCACTCAAGCTTCTCGTCCATCTTCGCGAACTCTACAAGGCTGGAGAGCAGTTCGCATTCCATCTTCTGGATTCCTTTTGATTAGCCCTGCTGCATAATGCCGGCACCCAGTAAAAGTGCATACGCAAGGACACGCAGCATCGAAGAGGAAGAGCTGCAAACGCCGCCCGCCCACTTTGCAAAGGTACCCCGGACTCATGCCTCGCAAAGATTGAAACACGGCCTTGACATCTCACATAACGCTGTGTTTGCCACGTTCCACAAGTCTCTTTCAGAGCTTCCCGTGCTACACAACTTCAACAAACGTTTCCGGCACGGACATCTGCGTATCACCTCCGACATTCTCATGTCGCACTATCTGTAAATGCCTGCGGCTATTGCGGCCCTTCCCCTGAAAAGCTGCCCAAGACGTTCTTTTTCGTGCTCTGCGCGTTCACCGAGGTTGTGACTCCACAACAGTGCTTTGTTCAAGACGGGGCGCCGTGACTCAGATGAAAGGTTGAAAAGACCATGATTTCTGCACTTTCTGCATGACACATCAACATTGCACAACAGGACTACCTCGAAGCCCTCTCCTCCGTCTTGACGCGCAGGACGTGCAATGCTCGACCTCTGCCTTCTTAGAAGAGTCAACGAAACAGAAACACTTGAAGCTAAAAGAATCTGAGTGGGGCCACAGGCAAACCCTGCAGAGCAGGACTCCCGGAAAGCCAACTGCAGGGCCACCCACAAAACTTCATAGCGCGACGGGCGGGTTCTAAACGCTCTGAGTCCTCACCCAGGTTCGCTGGCCCGTCGCAAACTCCACAAGTCTGAAGAGCAGATTGCATTCCATCTTCGGATGCAGCCGCCCCTAGCCCTGCTGCACGATGCCGGCACCCTGCGGGACCAGCGGGAAGGTCACCTCGTGACGTCCGACACACGTGCCGTGACACTTGCGACACGAGATGCCCATGAAAGAAAGTCTGTGAAGGCGGAGGCACATCCCAGACCCAGCGTCGGTCCACGGGCCGGCGTGAGCCCTTCGGGGAGACGTCGGCCTCCAGCCCAGCATCTATCATGTCCTGACACAAGACACATCAAGACACCAAATGCGCAGAAAGAGCAGCGCAGAGGCCATGCGGGAGCTCCTTGCAGAGGTTGTCCATGGCCTGAGCGGACAAGATGCAGCACCTTTGGTCCACGTGCCAGTTCACCTCCACAGGCGAGCAGACCTGACAGCTGCCGGCTAGAGCCACTGGTGCAGCAAATGTGGAGGCATAGCCTCAGCATGACACCACGTCAGTCCTCGTCGTCGTAAGAGGGGCCAGTGGTGGAGCCCACGTACCGCACAGCGGAGCCGGCAGGAGGTTGCTGCCACTGCTCCAGGAATGTCCGGTTTTGGGCATCCACGTAATCGTTCTGCAGGGCAGCAGATGCACAGATTCAGATGCGCATCCGAAAACCAGCCCAGCAATGATCACTCGGGCCAGGCTAGCGCAGATCCGCAGAAATTAAAGCTCGGCATGCTGGCGGTCCAGCGAAGGGTCGTTGACGATGAGGCAGACCTGCACACGCTGCAGCATCATGCAGCATCCACGATACCCGACAGGATTTGCACACTCGGCGGTCACCGTGCCTGCGCCCGGACGATGACATCTGCGTTGTTGGTGCGCGTGAAGGCGCCGCCCAAGCCGGCCCTACCGAGATATCTTGCATGCTGCGCTCGCCCCATGCTGAGGCACTCTCCAAGATCTGCAGCACAGGCACGTGATGCCCAGCTCCCCCTCGCTACCATCCTCCTGCAGCTTGCCCGGTCCTCATGCGCAAAGCCGTCACCCGCATCCACGAATCAGCCGTGCTGCGTGTGCTGCTCCGGCCTCCAGTAGAGAAGACCCAGTGGAACTCGTACCTGTGAAGCACTCGACTTGGCGCCTCAACTCTGACAAAAGATATAAAAAGATGAGGGTCGTGAGGCGGGGGCACGTGCCACCAACTTGTGCAGCTTTGCAGTAGGTGAAGCTGAAGGACGATTCGTCCAGCTTGGTGTCGTTGATACCTGAAGTGCCACTGCGACCCCTCACTTGCAACTTGCAACCACAATCCGAAAACCCTCGTGGTTTCACGTGCACCCAGAATCCGAAGACATGCATAGCCTCGTGGCCGTCTGTGGGGCACGACAACCGTTTTCCCCGACGGGTACCCAAAAGAGCTACGACGGACGAACCCTTTCTTTTTGGATGGTTTGAAGCGCATTCGCGCCGGGTCCGTCGCAATCGCCAGTACGAGGCAAGCCGGCGCCGGGGGACGCTTTTAGCTGCCCCGGCCCGCTGCCCGCCAGCGAGCGACGACCCGAAGGTCTCCAAATAAAAATAACCCCCAATAAGGGCGGTGAGGGTGGGAGCTGAAAATCGTCGGGGGACGTGGAGCAGACAGCGGCTGCAGCATCCACGTCGATTCGACGGTTGTCCCTACGCACATAAATGTGCTACACGACAACCGTTTTCCCCGACGGGTACCCAAAAGAGCTACGACGGACGAACCCTTTCTTTTTGGATGGTTTGAAGCGCATTCGCGCCGGGTCCGTCGCAATCGCCAGTACGAGGCAAGCCGGCGCCGGGGGACGCTTTTAGCTGCCGCCCGGCGCTCCCCTCACCCACTCTGCGCCGGCTTAGCCCGCTCACACCGCCAGATTCAGTAGCTCGTCGGCGGCGTCATTCACCGCAAAGTTCAGGTCGGCGGCGGCCCGGGAGAGCACCTTGAGGATCGACTCGACGGGTGTGTGCACCCGCTCCCAGCCGGAACTTTCCGCCGTGTGAAGGTCTCCTCTCGACACTGCGTCGGAGACGTTGGCTTTGGACGGCACCCGACGGAAGTCGGGAAGCCATTCCGACAGAGCCGCCGTGGACCAAAAGGCCGCCAATACGCCGTTGACGGCGGGGTCCTTCCCGTACCCTTTGGTGAGGGCCCATTGGCCGGCGACGTTGTCGATGAAGGCCAGCCACCTCTGCGGCAACCGACGGGACAATGTGACCAGCGCCAGAACCTGGGCGACGATCTCGAGGACGTAGATAAACGCCCGACGGGAGGCGAAGATGTCCAGGAACTTGGCCGGCACGACGCCGCAGTCATAGAAGACGAGGGCGCCGATGCGGACGACGAAGCCCCAGCCGTTCCGGCCTCGGGTCCCCGGCCGGATTCCGACTTCGGCCGGCATGTGCCCGGCTTTGTGTCTCACCTCGCCGGGCTGGTAGAAGGCGTCGGCGTAGATGATCGCCGCCGGTGCCCCGTCGTCTATGATGGGTACCCGGGTACCCTCCTCGGCCGGATGTCTGCCAGCAGGGCCCGGAGAGACGTGAGGGCTGCCCGGAGGCCCGTCGACAGCGACGTGGCCGACGTGGCCGCCGCGTCGTGTGCCCTTGAGTAGACGGGCTGGAGGGCTGCCTTCCCCAAGGCGCCGAAGGTCGACTGAGTGATGAAGTTGAGCTTGCCGGCCAGACGGTTCGCCACATCCGGCGTGAGCTCGTCGTTGGCCAGTGCGGCGTCGATCGTCGTCAGGACCTTCTTGACGCGTCGTTCGGTCGGCTGCAGGACCACCGCGTCGGTCTCGACGGACACGAGGACCCCCTGGACGGTCTGTTGAGTCGCCGGGGCCTGGGCCTTAGACGGCTTCGTCTGCAACCCGACGAGCTCGAAGAAGTCGGCCATCGCCCGGAAGGCCGAGTTCGCCGATTCGTCCATGTCGACGCCGTTGAAGTCGTCGACGAAGTGGCCGGCCAGGATCCATAGGAGCACCCGCTGTATGGCCTGGAGGGCGTCGGCTGTCCGGTTAAAGTGCCATACCGACGCGGCGGCGCCGAAGCACATCGCCATATGAAACCAGAGGGATACGCCGGCTGGGCCCGCGATGAAGGTGCCGGAGTGCGCCGGGTGTTTGACCGGCCACTGGCGGTAGGCGTTGAGGAGGTCGTGCCCGAATATCCTCGCCAGCGTCGCCGGCCCCCCCGCCTGGTCAACCACCCGCCGGGCCATGTCCACGAAGTCGTCAACGAAGTGGTGCGTCGGGACGTCGTGGGCCCTGACGGTGGAGTTGTGTCCGGACCTGCGCCAGTCTTCAGCGCGACGGACCTTCGCTCCGCCCTGTTCGTCTTCCTGCACGACGGGGAAGGAGGCTGCGGCAAAGGCCTGTCCCGGCGGTGGCGGGACCAGACGGTCGGCCCCCGGCCTGTCGAGGAGTGCCGTCGTCTTGAAGTTCCAGCCGTCGGGGGCCCGGGTCGGGCCGACCACCCGGCCGAGACGGACTTCCTCCACGAGCTCGGCAAGGAGGGTGTCGGTGTGCTCCCCGACGGTGGCTGTGGACGCCCGCCGCTTGATGTACTCCCAGTTCGCCGACGCGAAGTTCTCGATCGACGCCGGGTTGGAGTACTTCTCGTCGGTTCTGGTCCTCCACCCCGGGCCTCGGCGGAGTTCTCCCAACATGTCGAAGCCGTCGGTCAGGTCCTCCTGCATGCCGGGGACGTCGGGGTAGCCGACGATGCGGAGCAACTCCAGGATGACGGGGATCTGCGTCGACCGCTGCTCCAGCCAGCGCTGCGTGTGGTCCTCCATGTCGTCGACGAGGTGGGAGATGTCCTGGAGCACCTCCCGCCGGATCCTCGCCAGGTCGTGGCGCCACGACCGCCAGAGGAGCAGTACACGCTCCAAGGCCGGCTCCAGGTCGGGCCGCCGGGTCACCGTGCAATGCCGCAGGGACGCCGACAGCTGCCAATGTAGGTCCGGGTCGTCGTCGGGGAGGTCGATGTCCGGTCGGTGTCGCGGCGGTGGCTCCATCGGCACCGGTCCCCCGCCGAACTGCTCCGCTGCCCACTGGAGGGTTGACCGACGTGGCTCAGGTACCGGTGCGGCCGTCGATGAGGAAGCGACGGAGAAGGCCACTATGATCGCCAGCAGGCGGCGGGCCACCCCCCACCTGGAGGACTGTTCCTGGCCAAATTTGTCCCTGGGCGCAAATTCGCGCGGGAACAAATTTCAAAAACAGGTTTGGCTTGTTCCTGGAGGAATTTGTCCCCGGGCGCAAATTTTCTCGGGAACAGGGCGACCCGTGTTTAAAAATTGTTCCCGGGCGCTTCTTTTCCGGCGAAGGGGTCCGCGATGTGAATTTGCGCTCAGAATCCCAGGATGTGGATCCGTGTTTCACTTGTATCTATGTACAAAATCATCCCCATGATGTAGATTTGGCTCAAATTGCTATAGTTTTGGCTCAAATTGGTGCAACTTTCTGCGTGCGGAGAGAAAAACCTTAATACCTTAAGTGGCTCAAATGCGTGTGTGCAAAAAATCCTTGACCACCTTAAAGACCCCATAGTACACACACACACATATATATGTATATATATGTATACACACACGTACATATAAATATAAATATATATATATATATAGATAGTTTTCCATATCTCGACTCCTTCTTTCCATTCGATCGATCTCTTTTTCTCGCTCCTCGATTTTTCATTCGATGGTCACAAAGAAGACCGATCCTCAGAATATGTGCGGACAACGGGGTTCCACAGTTTGCTTTGGCAGATATATCTGGTTTGTGGCAGCCAAGCATTCATAGCGATGTTGCTTTTTGATCCTTCGATGGCTCTTCCTATCTATCCATTGAGACAGGCGCTGCTTGTGCACTCCTGCAGTGTTGGCATTGCATGTCCGCTGTGATGTCTGCTTGCACGCAACACATGACATATATGACGCAGAAATCTCAGCGGCTTGCAATGCACTGCTTCCTGCATGAAAGCAGCACTGGCATCACAGCATATATTTGCTTTGCTCCATCTCTCGCAAACAGGGGTTTTGCGCACTGATCGAAGAAGCCATGGATCGCATGGATTGCTGCCGAGCCTTGTCAGCTGCAGTTATCCTGGTATGCGGTCTTAGCGTGTCCAATGTCAAGCAGCTGGCTTGCTCAGAGATGACAGTCCTGCGGGACTGTGTGGATGCAATGCAGGATTTGTCTGTGTGGACCGAGATTTGCGATTTATTGTGCTGGTGGAAATGTGTACTTACATTGTGCATAGAAGCTTTCTCCCGTGCAGATGTGGAGACCGGAAACTTTCCCTGGCCAGCCAAGCTCCCCCAGCTGGCGGTCTTCGAAAAGGCAAAACCCGAT